AAAAAAAAAAAAAAGAGCTCTGGTGGTACAGTGGTTAAGGCATTTGGCCACTAACCAAAAGGTTGGTGGTTTGAACCCACCAGCCAGCCACTCCACAGAAGAAAAGTGAGGCTGTCTATATATAAAGATTTACAGTCTTAGAAACCCTGTGGCGGCTGCTGTGAGTTGGAACTGACTTGATAACAGTGAGTTGGGTTTAGTTTGGTTACTTTAAGAAGCTTCTTAAACAAAAACAGAAATTTATTAAATGGTTAAAAGGAGAGTGAGAAGAACTTCTTCCTTTTGCCAACCATTCAACTTAAAGGACATCCCTATTTCAAATAGGGCTCAATTAATTTTAAAGCAGTACATTATCTGCTCTTGAAACTACTTCTGTTTTGTTTATCGGCACACGCTGACATCCATCACCGTGCAGGCATCATTATTTCCGCTCTTACATCCAGCACATAAATGACTGTCATTTGAGTACAAGCTGGAAGCTGGGTGTGTGGATGCTGACAAAAGGTGTATGAGCAGACTTACGTTAACCACGGACAAATGGGCTCACTGTTATGGTGTTGCTGAGGCTCTAAGCCATGTATCTCCTAACCTACATTCTGTGTTAATAAAGACCACTGTGTGACTGTGGAGGAGCCCTGCTGGCCCAGCTGCTATCCAAAAGGTTGGTGGCTTGAACCTACTCAGAGGCTCCATGGGAGACAAGGCCTGGTGATATGCTCCCGAAAGATTACAGCCCAGGAAACCCCTGTAGGAGTTGTACTTCATTACATGGGGTCACTGTAAGTCAGAATTGACTCAGTGGCCCCCAACAACAACATGTGAATATGTAAGCATATTTTCAACTGATACCCAAGTAAAAAATCAGTGAAAGAATTGGGGTGGAGAAAAGTGAGTTGGGATCATACAAATGCCACATGGTCTGATGTGGTCTGAAGAAGGCTCTCTCTGGTCCTGTCCTCTGGGTGAAGAACTCAGACTACGCAATTCCTTGCAGGACGGCAAGCGCGATCATGACACCCACATACCTAGAAAAGCAGAAGGTGAGACAGTGCCGTTGCTTCTTGAAACCATGACGCTGATTCCCGTCTCCACGAAGGGCACGGAGAAGTCCACCACTTCAGAGCGTTCCTCATTGATGGTGAGCGAGCCGACCGCCATGACTGCCCGGTGATAGACCACCTGGATTCAAGGTAAGGGAAAGAACAGCTTCTTCACTCATCCTTCCCACCATCCCCGGGGACCTCAGACCCTAAGCCTGAACGAGCACCCATGGGATGGACAGATGACTTACTTCACCGATCATTCCATTCCACACATTGTTAACTTTTTTGCCATGCTTCCCGTTGGTCACCAGGTAGAGGTCATAGGTAAACTTCACCGTTCTGGAGAGCTTCTTGAGGATATCAATGCAGAATCCCTTGCAGCACTTTTTAACGTTCATCCCCTCATTAGTCGAGTTGCTGGAAACAAAATCCCAGGGCCACAGAACGTTAGTACTGGAAGGTATGCTCACAATCAATAGCTAAAATAAACTATGCTACTACTTGGCAGGAGGAGGATTGAGGCACAAAAAGAAAATAAGGGAAGAGTCTTTTCCATGGATATGCACTGAGTTTATGACAGCAAGAACAGAACGTGTTCTTAATTTTAGCAATCATCGCAACAACAGCTAACAGTTTATTGAGTACTTATTCTTTGCTGTGCACTATGCTAAAT